AACTGGTGGGCGCTTAGAGTCTTGGTTTCGCCCTGGGCCGAAGGCCTGCGAGCAGAGACTAGAGAGATGGAGAGAGAGGCAGAGACAAACAGGGAGAGAGGCTCAGGACTGGAAAGCTGCAGGCATCGAGAGCGCGAGAGACCTGCTCCCCGCCCAGCCCAGAGACAGCGCACGGGGATGGCTCCTCTCGAGCCGAAGGCTCACCCGACAGGCGGAGCCGACGGACCTCTCGTGCGAACGGGCCCCGGCGACACCGGGTATGAGCCAACGGTCGACCGGCCTCGCCCTCACCCTCCAGCCCCCGCAGGCGTGCGCGGAGGTCCAGACCTCCGATGCCATGCTTCTTTCGTGGAGGGAGCCCTCTACCAGTGGGCCAGAGCTTGGAACACGAGAGGCCGTCGTCACCTCCCTGTGGCGCCGCCGGGCGCCTGGGAAGCACGACGAAATCAGGATCGGGACAACATCGGATCGATATAGATCGGGGCGGTAAGGACGCCAGCAGGTCCAGAGGATGCATCGGGCGTCGCGGCCGCTCCGGAGCGATCCGAAACGCCATGAGAGGTCTTGGACACATCGGAAACGACTCGGCCAGAGTGTCTAGGCCTGCCCGAATGGGGCGAAACTGATGTCGTGAAGCCATCGGCTCAGGATGTGTTCCAGGACTTCTGGGGTATCCATGAAGGGGCCCAGGGGCACACAGAGATATACACACAAATCCCAGGAGTCCCCATATTTGTCTACATTTTCTGGGTGCTCGTCTTCCCCCCCCCACTTCCCCTATTTTCTTGAGGATCGACGATGACTTGTGCATCGTCGTTTCCCTCCTCCCAAATCTATAGCGGCCTTCGCTTCTGGGGCCCGCACGGAAGAATAGGACGTCTTTGAAGCCAGTGGACACCTTGGAACGTATCACGATGAGGACCTCTTTCAGGGGGACGTAAGACCTGGGTACAGGGGACTCGGAAATCCCCGACGAGGTCGTCAAAAAAATGACGAGGCCGAGCCTGCATTTTGACGAAGCCTCCCGCTGCAGACATCCCACGAAACTCCTCCTCGTCAAAATCCGAAGCACGGTCGTCAAAAAACCATTGGTAACCCGAGTCCCCTGGCAAACCCGGGTCTTACGCTCCCCCGACTCTTGCTCCTCTGACTGAAGCCCATGTTGGCATGATTCGCGACGACGTCCGTGACCGTCTCCGCCCCCCCCATCCCTCCCCCACTCCCCCCCCCGGCCACGTCACGATCCGCAACGGCGCCGTCTGGGAGAGAGCCATTCTTGGGCATTCCCAGACGGCGCCGCCGCGAATCGCGGCGTGACTGGCCCTCTCCCCCCCTCGCACCCCTCGCCCTGGCGACGCCCGTTATCGTTAATCGCCAGGGAATGAAACAAGATTGCTGCTAGGGGTGCGGCAGCGTAACTGCTGCCGCAACCTGGCGCGCAGCCGTGCAGTGGTACTGCGACGCCTTGTGAGGCCAAGGAATTTGTGCTCATGAGCTCTGCACCCGAAGCCTCGTCACTCTCTCTGAGGAAGTAGAGACCTCCTAGATGGGGTCCTTGTGAATGGGATCGAAGGATCGCGCCGCATCGGCGATACATCGCCGATGCATCGGCGATGCAGCGGCGAGGCATCGGCGCCGTCGGCGTGGAGAAAACCAGGCCCCACGTCGAGCCGCATCGCCGATGCCTCGTCGATGCGACGCGATCCTCCGACCTCATCTACTCGGACCCCATCCAGGAGGCCTAGACTCAGGTCGGGCCTGTCCCCCTACAGGCCGATTCTGAACGAATAAACAAACAAATAGTCAAAAAGTACCCCAGACATATTCCAAAATATAGTAGGAACATCGTCCCCGATCTATTTTTTGACTACTGTTGAATAATATCCCTGTAGGGGGACAGGCCCGACTTCAGCCTGGACTCTCTCTGACCGCAGGCGGCGCTCCCGCACGGCCCGCCCTGCGATGGGCGCCGCCACTCGGCCGACTGGGCTCGCACGGGGTTGCTCGCGCGCGCGCGCTCGCGCGCGCGCGAAGGCGGGCCTGTCCACCCACTCCTGGCACGCGCGCGCGGACGCCGCTGCCGGCGGGCCGGGGGGGCTCTCGAGTGGGCCGCGTGGCCCCCATGGGGTGTACAGGTGGCGACAGCCCTCGAGGATCCTGGATCGGTGGGAGGCGGGGGGCACTCCAAATTCCTGATTAGTCGGCGCCCCCACAAACCCGGACCCCCCCTCCAAATGCGACCTAATATTCCTGACCCCCCTCTCCTGTGCGGGGCGCCTTAAGAAACCGGACCCCCTAAGCTCCAGTCCAAAGAAAACGCCCCCATAAACGGGACCCCCCCAGTTACAAAAAAGGCGCCTCAAAAAACCGGACCTGGGGGACGATCAATAAGGGATTTGGAGCAGGGTTCGGATTCCGCCACGCGTTCGACGAGTGCCGAGCCCTACCCCCGCCCCACATCGAGTTGCCCGCGTCGTAGACTGGCGAGAGCAGGGTTTGGATTGTGCGGCCGAATGTGCTTACGCTAAGTCCCCTCACTTAGTGCATCGCGGCCCGCGATGCGTAATTATCTTCGCGCCCCCGCGGGTGATCCAGGTCCGGAGAACATTGCCCAGGAAGCGTCGAAAACACTCTACGAGGCCTCAAAGAGGCTACAATCTATATCCATAACGCTCTCTATGAGGCCATCGCCAAGCCCAAAATATTGATTTCCCGTATGTTGTTCAATGTGCCTCGCTTGCCATGTTCTTCGGTCAAAGATCGGTCCAGGTGGAGTCTCCGAAGACTTGGAGACCCAAGAAGGCCCCTAGACGGCCCAGGACGGCCACGACGGACCCTGGAGACGGCCCAGACGGCTAAACTTTTTCCAAGACGGCACGAGGAGACCTCGAGACGGCCCAAGAGGGCCCCAAGGGACCCCCACGACTGCCCGACCAGAACCCAAGGCAGCCCCTAAGACGGCCGACGTAAGCCCCATGAGAGCTCCTCAATTCAGTGGAGACGAGCGGTGTCACATCTGACGGCATTCTGGACGGTGCTCGAAGAGATGCCACACAAAGTGTTTCGCTGGCAGGGAGACGGACTTGCCGCGGGCACCTAGAGAAGTAGGGAGCCATTCAGCCGAGCCTGGTGGAGTAAAAAGGTCGCGAAGGAGGAGGAGGAGCAAGGGATTAGGAAGGTGGGCTGCAGGAGCGAAGGAGGTGGGGAGGGAGCGACAGGATGACCCTCCAAACCGCAAGCAGAATGAGGCTGCAACCGTCGACGTCGGGAATGCAATCCGTCTTGGTAGCGCCAGCGGGACGCCGGCCACGAGCCCACGTCACAGAATCGCTCGCACTTCGCGCATGCGCGAAGCGCGGCGAGGCCTCGGAGCGCGGCCACCTCCGCGCCGGCGCGGGGCAGCCTGGCGGCGCTTCTGGGCGACGAGCGCGCGTCGGCGTGGGCGCGAAGCTGCGCGAAAGAATCGAATGGGGAATGTGGGACGATGGAGGGAGAGAGCAACGGGGATCGGCCAGGATGCCTTGCTTGCTACCACCTGTCCGGCCCCGCCGCCCTGGCCAAGAGCCAAGGGGGAGGGGGGGCTCAAGCGCAAAGCTTGGGCAGAGGATGCCCTGCTATATCTGGCCTTTAAAACAGAGTTGTGTATCCATACCCTGCCCCCCCTGGCGCCCAGTGAGGGGCAGCAACACTGCTGCAACTCATGGGACCCTCTCATGCCATCTTGTAAAGACTTGCGAACGAAGCGAAGCTACTCGGCCGTGAATCGACGCTACGTCGACGCTAAAGCGACGCTAAATCGGAGCTACATCCGCGTCACCCCCTTGATTACCAGACGCAAATCCGCGCTAACGCACTCCAGAGCCGGAGTTGCGAAGGTATATCAGGCTCTCCCTGGCGCCAAAAGAGGGCAGCAGCATGGGCATCGAGGGACTGGCTGGCATCGGGGGGGAACATCGACCTGGAATCGGCGATACATCGCCGACATATTCGCGATGGGCCCCCGATCGCAAATCAGCGCGTTCCCTGGCGGAGCAAATCTATCAGATCTCTGCTGGGCGATGTATGGGGGGGTGAAGGGTTGGCCCCCCCCATCCCCCCCCAAAAAAACTACCGGTACCGCTACACCCCAGACCTCGTCTGGGATGCGTTCTGACCGGAACTTCGCGGCGAATCCAGCCGCGGCGCCGAAGGCCCCCAGGAGGCCCCCCCAAAGGGGAAAACGAAACGAGAGCAGCAGTATGGGGTACGTTTCCTTCTCAATGTAACCGAATGCCCCTGAGGAGGAGGAGGAGGAGGAGGAGGAGGAGGAGGAGGAGGAGGAGGAAGAGGGGGGGAGGAGGAGGAGGAGGAGGAGGAGTCAGTAGGAGAGCTTCTCGCCCCAGCAACTCGCACGTGCTCGGGAAGGGATGGGATGTCAGTGTGGTATGGCGCTGCCCTGCTCGCTATATAGCGTGGCATGCGGGACACGCGGTCAAAGGTGCCCTGGAGATTGGGGGGAAGCAGCCAGGGTGCCGATCTTTGGGTGACCCAAAGCGGGGTCCAGCTGAAAGGGGAGGGGGTGCAATAGATGTGGGGCAATTGTATTGCACATGTATTGCGCCAGGGACTTGTATTGCATTGCATCGCGAAAGTCCATCAATCTATCTGCGCCCCGGAATGCGTTGCACGCCCCAAGTGCCTTGCAACCCCACAGATCCATTGCACCGAATCTCCTGCACCACCACCCCCTGTCGCTGGACCCCCCCCCTTGTGTCACCACCCACCAAACCACCCCAACCCAACCCGAAGCCCTCAATTTGCCTTCCATTTCCAGTGGTGGGGGGTCGGGGAACGTTGAAAAAACACATGGTACCCCCCCCCCCAACCCGAAATTCGGGTCAAATTCGGGTCTTCGGGTTGGGTTGGGGTGGTCTGGTAGGTAGTCATTGTGGGCCAACCCGGCGATCGGACGCCGCTCCGCCGCTGCAGGGAGGGCTTCGGCGCCGCCCCGGGCCCCGGGCGCGTCTCCTGCAGCGCCACGGTGCCCGCCCTCGGCAGCAGCCTCTCGGCCACCGCGGCGGCCTTGAGGAGGAGGTCCCGGAGCTCGGTCTGCGGGGGGCCGCTCGGAAGGAGGAGGAGGAAGAGGAGGAGGAGAAGGAGGACGAGGAGGAGGAGGAGGAGGAGGAAGAGGAAGAGGAGGAGGAGGAGGAGGAAAAAGAAGAGGAGGAAGAGGCGGAGGAGATGAAGGAGGAGGAAGGGGGGGCGGGGAGGAGGAAGAGAAGAAAGGGAAGAGGAGGAGCAGGAGGAGGAAGATCAGGCGCTGCAGCGCGCACTCACAGCCAACGTCAAAGTCCACGACAGCGGGCAGGCACGCATGCACGGAAGCAGAGAGAAGGAAAGAGGGGCAGCGGCGGGACTCCGCGCGAGGAGTCCGTTGTCCCCAAGGGCGCGGGCATCCATCACAATCGGACCATCGCGATTCGAGCGAATCGCCCTCGAGCACGAGACCGAGCCACCGTCGCTCCCCACCGAGCGACGGGCCCAGCCCAACTACAGCAGCAAGGCAGGATCACGAGCAGGTGAAAACGGCGAGTGTGCTAGGAATGTGCAGTTTTCTCAGAAGAATGCGGCGATGTGTGCCGCTTCGGGCCCTCTTGAGGGTCCTCTTGGAGCCGTCTTTGGGCGTCTTGGGAGCTTGGGGGGCCGTCCGGAAGCCACGTTGGCCCGTCTGGGACCTATGTGGGACATACTCGGAAGTTCCGAAGGAGGAACGGGGAGGATCCAGGGATTGCAATCCTGGGAGGACTAGGGACGCCCAGGGCGGTGGTGGGAGCACTTATGTGGTGCCCCTGGCGGTCTTCGGCCCGGAGGCATCCCACGGCTAGGCTTCTGGCATACATACATATATATATATATATATATATATATGCAAACATTGTTTTGCTTAGCTGCACTATCCCCCATCATCGTCTGGAGATCTCGTTGTTGGGCCCGCTTGCTCCACCGAGTACCGGCGCTATCACATTCTGAACGAATGGACACAGAAGCAAGTTCGGGCACGCAGAGACAAATCCGCATACACATATAGACATACGGAATGACTCAAGATACGTGAATATCTGTCTCTCTCTAGATCTATATATATATATACACATACTCCAGGTTTCGTAGTAAAAGGGAGGGGGTCTGGACCCTCCAAGACAAGCCATTTCAGACCTCCCCCGTGGGAGAACCCTCCAAAACATCGTCCCCAGACCCCCCAGGCCCTCCAAGATAGCCTGGAAGAGAGCCCCCCCCGAAATGAGACCCCCCTCCCTTTGTTACGAAATCTGGTGTATATGTATGCACGTACACATGTCCGCCACCGTGCCTCGAGGCACGAGGTGGGGCTACCCCCCGGGCTCCCATGCGCTCGTTCTCAGGACGGGGGGATCCTAGTATTCCAGGGGCTCGGGGGGCCCAGACTCCAATCTCCTGGGCGCTCCCGCGCGCTCCTCGGCTGCCTCGCGTCGTGTTTCGGGAGACCAGGGGGTCCCAAGACGAGCTCGAGGGCCCCAGAAGGCGCCCAAAAAGGGTCCAAAAGGCCTCCAAGACTGCCCAAGAGCGCTCCAAGACGCCAAAGATGGCCCCGAAGCGGCCCAAGAGGCCCCGAGGAAGCTTCAAAAGCGCCCCAAGAGGACCCCCGAAAGATCCCCACAGAAGCAACAATAATGCATGTTCCGTATGTGTTTCTGTGCTTCGCGTTCTCGCGTGGTCAGGCTTCCGACGCTCCAAGATGGCCCCAGAGGCCCCCAAGACCGCCCAAGAAGGCCCAAGAGGCCCCCAAGAGGGCCCCGAAACGGCCCAAGGAGGCCCCCATACGGCCCAAGAGGCGCCCAAGATCGCCCAAGAGGGCTTCAAGACGGCCCCAAGAGAGGCCCAAGAGGGGGAAGACGAACCGCCAATTCGAGCCTTCCGCCCCAAGAGGCCCCAAGGATTCCCCAAGAGGCCCCCAAGAGAGCCCAAGAGAGGCCCCACGAGGCACCAAGGGCCCAACAGGAAGCCCCAAGAGGCCCCCAAACGATCCCTCAGAGGCGTCAAAACTGCCTCCAAGACGCCTCACGCTATCCAAACAAACATCCAAAAGGTCTCTAACCCACAACGCAGGGAGGGGCCGTAGGCCACTATTTTTGGTAATATCTCTCTCACACTACACATGTTTACACACAACTCTCTCTATCTCTCTTTGTTATCGCGCCCTCTCTCTCTCTCTCCCTATACATATACATGTGTATATATATATATATATGTATGCACATACATTTATATATATACATATATATACATATGTGTATATGATAGAAGATAGAACGGTGTGCCCACTATTGATTAAAACTGGTTGTTGACAGAATACAGTCGCAGTTTGTGAATGCATTCAGTCAGCACGTTGCTGAAAATCATGTGCACACTCTGGGGAATTCGTGCCGCGCCAGTTTTCCGAGCCGCTCAGATACCCACTTCCTCTCGAATGCGCTTAAAAAACAGCTCCTCTCGCCATCGTTCGGACGTCCATATCATATGCATTTGTTGGCATCGTGCGTGCTCTTTTTCGCAAGGTGATCCAAAATGCTCCTCGATGGTGCTCGCCGAAAAACTGTGGCCTGGAGAGCGATGCCAAAAGAACAGCTCCTGGACACCACCTCTCGGAAGCCGCTCACAAGCCGCTCTGCACAGGGCAGCGGCATCGGCACCTGTCTCGGACGGGGCTAGGACGAAGATAAATCCGATAGAGCTCTCCGGAACGCTCTCAGACCACTCTGGAGAGCTCCGAGAAGGCCGCGGCACCCGAGAAATCCTCCAGAGCCGCCAGATCTGAGTGATTCTCTATGTATTGGGCGTCGCGTACAACGGAGGGGCACCAAATGGAGCGGGGGCAGCGAAGGCTGCAGAAAAGGGTGTTTTCTAGAGACCCTAGAGGGGCACTTTCGGGGCCCCCACAAAGGGGGCCTTCAGGGCCCGAAGAAGCGCACGCCCCAATACAAGCGACGCAGAACTTGATCCCCGCCCGAATTTGTCCTCGTCCTGGCTGCATCGGACTCTCCCTCCCCTCGAAGGGGCCCAGGGACACAGACTAATAGACACACGCAAATCCCAGAACTCCCCACATCTTTACTTGTTTTCGGCGTTTCCGCCGTCCCCCCCCACTTCCCATACTCCCCCGACGGAGGATACCCCCCCGACGGGTGTCAACCTCGCCTCGTCGTCGCGCCGCGACGGGGGTCGGAGCGCCTTCGGCGCGCGGCGGCTGCCCGCGACGGGATCGATGTGGGGCTGTCGGCGGGGGTGACGCCCCCCCGACGCTTCTTAAGAAACTCGGAGTATCCACTGCCCACCTGGCCAGGCCCTTCCTGGGACCAGGAGCTGCATATACGCCCTCCTCGCCACGGCGGGGAAGCGTGGCTTCACGCTGGGCCTGGCCAGGGAGCAGCGGACACGTAGAGACCTCGTCGCCCCAGACCAGATCGGGCGGAAGCTAAGGCCTGCCAGCCCGAGGAGAAAGTTTGAAGACCGTGTGCCTCTGTGTTTCTGTTCCCCTCCCGCTCCCCTGGCTGCCCCGGCCGCGGCGGGCGAGAGGGCGGCCGGCCTCCAGCGCCGTCAGCCGCGAGGGCGGCAGCCGGGCGAAGAACGCCTCCGCCATGTGGCCGCCGCCCTCTCGGTGGACCCCGGGAAGAAGTCCAGCTGGAAGGGGGTGCTGCACAGGAAGTGCGCCAGAGAACTATACAGTCGGGGCGCTGACCTAAGGAACCCTAAATAAGGAACGAGGCCCTTTTTTCTCAGAAGTTAAACATCGATGTCCCATGGCAAACCTCAGGCAGACCTCAGGCAAACTGTTTAAACAATCAAGGAACACCGAGCCCCTCCCCAACGAAAAGGGTTCCTTTTTCAGCGCCCCGACTGTATGTTGCATGGTAGTGACTGGTAGTGCAACTGAGCTACCCTGCACGCGGAGGCCCAGCAACACAGCTGCGTACTGGGACGTACTGCAGGCCCCAAATCTATTGCAGCAAATCTATTGCATCAGCCCCTTGTCATTAACGGTTTCCCCCGGGGCCGTAAGCGACCCGAGGAGGAGGAGGTCAGGGAGGAGGAGGAGTGGCAGGAGGAGGTGGAGGAGGGGGACGGGGAGGAGGAGATCGAGGAGGAGGAGGAGGAGGAGGAGGAGGAGGAGGAGGAGGAGGACGGGTCGCCTGAGCTCTCCGGAGAGACCCTCCACACCACCCCCTCGTCGCTGGACCCCCTTCTGGGTCAAGCCGAGCCCTGTGCCCCCCCCGGGCGGGGGGGGGGGGCGCGCCGCGGGGGGGGGGGGGGCCTCCGCTTGAGGGCGCGACGGGCCCCCCCCGCGGCGGCGCAGGGGGGCCCTGCCGCGGGGGGGGGGGGGCCTGCGCTCCAGGCGACGGACGGCAGCCCGCCTCGCGGGGCGGCGGCGCAGCGGAGCCGCTGGCGCGGCGGGGCAGCGCGGTGCACGGCGGTGCACGCCGAAGGATCGGCGGCCGGCGAGGCGAGGGGAGCTTCGAGCTTTCGGGCTTATGAGGTTCTAGGCTTTCGGGCGGTGGCAGAAGTTCATGGCGGTTTGCCGCCCTCGGGATGCGTTCCAGCTGCTGCGCCTCGCCGAGAGCGTTCCGCGGATGCCGGGATCGTCCGGAACGGCCGCCGGAGACCCGAGCTGTGGCAGGAAAACTGAACTTGGCGGCGAGCGAGGAGGGGAAGTGAGAGGGAGAGGCCTTCTCAGAAGGCGGCGGGACTTCTCGGCAACCCTCGCGCCTTCTGGCAAGTGCTCTGTGTCTTCGGGGAAGGCTCGGAAAGCTTTTCGGAAGGCCGTGGGGCTTCCGAGCCTTCCGAGAAGGCCTTCTCCTTCTCGCTTCCCCCCCTCGCTCGCCGCCGACAGGAGGGAGACCGAGGAGGGGGGGGGGGGGGGCAGAGGCCCAGCAAGGGCCCCAGGACGGCCCAAGAGAGCGCCAAGAGGTCCCCCAAGAGTGAAGGGGCCCTGGAACACACAAATAAATACACACAAATAACATGATTCCCATATTTTCCTATACTTTCTGGGTTTTCGTCTTCCCCCCCACTTCCCAAATTTTCCCATATTTTCCGGGAAGTCGACGATTAATCGTGTCTGTGTGTTTCTTTCCCTCCCGAAAGAGGGGGGCGCGCGGAAGCGGAGGAGGCGCCCGCCGGACGCGGGGGGCGAGCCCGCGCCGCGCCCGACGGCCAGAGCCGTCGAGAGGACGGCCGGCGGACGCACCCGAAGCCGCGCCCTCGTGGTCGGGACTCCGGGGGTCGCGATCCCGCGGGTACGACAGCTGGGAACGACAACCAGCCGAGGAGGAGGACAGCGCGGCCGCCCTGCAGGGCCCAGCGACGCGCGCGCCGGCCCCGCCCGCGCCACGGGGCGAGAGGCGGGCGGGCTGCGGGGACAAGCAGCCTCTACGGCCGGACCAGTGGAGCTGGCACCACCGGATGGGGCGTGGGGCTTGTGGGAGGGGGCCGGAAAGGGTACTCCAGAATTCGTAATAAAAGGGAGGGGGTCTGGACCCTCGAAGGCAAGCCATTTCAGACCCCTCCCCCGTGGGAGGTCCCTCCAAAACATCGTCCCCAGACCCCCCCGGGCCCTCCAAGAGAGCCTGGGAGAGACCCCCCCCCGAAATGAGACCCCCTCCCTTGTATTACGAAATCTGGAGTACGCGGTCGCGCGGAGACAACTCCTTGGCGGGGCGGCCGCGGAAGAGCGCAGCGTATCCCCAGGCCCCCGAAATCCAGACCGCTTCCCTGGGGCCGGCTTCTCCTCCAGAGCCGTGGTTCCCCAGATCCTGAGGATGGGGATCTTGAGATTACTCTGAACGCGCCGACTCCTCCTCACCTCACATTCCTCCTCCTCCTCCTCCTCCTCCTCCTCCTCCTCGACCTCCTCCCCGTCCTCCTTTCGCATGATGATGATGATGATGAGGAGAATAATACTAGCAATGAGCGATGATGGCAACAACGACGCCAACGACGACGACGCTGATGCTGATGCTGATGATGCTGGTGATGATGCTGCTGATGATGATACTGATGCTACTGATGATGATGCTCATGATGATGACGATGCTGCAGATGATACTGATGATGATGATGATGATGATGATGATGATGGTGATGCTGATGATGCTGATGATGATGCTTATGATTATGAGTATGACTATGAAGCTGAGGATGAGGATGCTGATAGTGCTGATGATGACGATGACGACGAATCTGATGGTGGTGATAGTTATGGTAATGACAACGATGATGACGATGATGGTGATAAGCAGGATGATGTGGTTGATGATGAAGACGACAATCATGGCGATGCTGATCATGATGATGACGGCGACAACGACGACGATGATGAGAGGGACAAGTATGGTCACGAGGATGAACATGAAGATGATGCTGATGAGGATGATGATGACGCTGAGGGTGATGATGATGATGATGCTGATGATGATGATGGTGATGATGATGAGGATGATGATACTGATGATGATGCTTCATACGATAACGACTACGATTATGAAAACGAATATGGCGACAATGATAAGGATGGGTTTCTTTTTGGCGAGGCGCTGGTTTTAGCACCCCAGGGTGGGGGCCAGACTGCGAGGACGTCTCGAGCGGTCTGCTTGTTTTGGCGGCCACGCTCGTCTGCGTTCAAAGCGATGTCGGAGGATGTCTCGGGCGAGAAGCTGGTTTCGGCACGCCTCAGCACAACCAAGGGGGGGGCCCCCAGAAGGGGGTATGGCCCGGGCCCGTTCGCGCCCAGATGGCGGCGGCGAGCCCGGGCGCGCCGGCCGACGTGAGGGCTGCCGAGAAGTCCCGCCGCCTTCTGAGAAGGCCTTCTCTGATCAGCGCACAACACACACTGAAACCTGTGGGGAGAAGGAATGGGCAAGGGCAGTGCGATGCACGCGCTGCAGGTAATTATGGGTGCGAGTTGTCGGGCCCCGAAGGGGTTCCCGTTGGAGCGGGGGCCTCCATCCGACAACACGCACCCATCGCCCCCCTCCCCCAGGAATTGCGCCCTGGGGATTCCCAGGGGCGTGCAGGCAATTATGGGTTTAAGTTGTCAGCTCGGGGTTCTCCTTTTCGTTCCCCCCCTCGCTCGCCGCCGATCCTCCTCTCTTTGGGCGCCCGACTTATCCGGGGTAACTCGGGTCCGGGGTAACTCGGGTTTGGATTCCCGAGAAAGGAACCCGAGTTAGCCCTGACCCGAGTTACCCCTGATGTGGGGCTCTGGACGCCCGAGTTATCCGGGGCAACTCGGGTCCGGGACAACTCGGGCTTGGATTCCCGGAAAACGAACCCGAGCTAGCCCTGACCCGAGTTACCCCTGATGATTCGGGGCTCTGATCTCTCGCGTGTAGGCAATTATGGGTGTCAGTTGTCAGCTCGGGGTTCTCCTTTTCGTTCCCCCCCTCGCTCGCCGCCGATCCTCCTCTCTCTGGGGCGTCTTGGGGCGTTTCTCTCTCGCGCCCTCCTTGAAGGGGCCCTCCTCCCCCCTCGGGCGCCTCTCGGGGGGGGGGGGAGAGGGGGGGCCCCCGGGCGCTCCCTCGGCGCGCTCCCCCTCCGCGCGCTCTTGGGGCACGCCGGGCACGCTGGGAGGTCCGTCGTGGGGGGGGGCACCTCTGGGCCGCCTCTCGGGCCCCCCCCCGCTCGCCGCCCGAGCAGCCTCCTCCTCCTCCTCCTCCTCCTCCTCCTCCTCCTCCTCCTCCTCCTCCTCCGTCTCCTCCTCCTCCTCCGTCTCCTCCGTCTCCTCCTCCTCCTCCGTCTCCTCCGTCTCCTCCTCCTCATCCTCCTCCTCCTCCTCCTCCTCCTCCTCCTCCTCCCTCGCACCGCGGGCCCGGCACGGCCGCGCTGCCGGGGGCCCCGCGGCGCCTGCCGAGGGGCCTCCGCGGCCCGCCGCGGCGGTCAGGCTCCGTCGAAGGCCTCCTCCTCCTCCTCCTCCTCCTCCTCCTCCTCCTCCTCTCCTCCTCCTCCGTCTCCTCCTCCTCCGTCTCCTCCCTCCTCCTCCTCCTCCTCCTCCCTCCTCCTCCTCCTCCCTCCTCTGCCTCCTCTCTCCTCCTCCCTCCTCCCTCCTCCTCCTCCTCCTCCTCCTCCTCCTCCTCCTCCTCCTCTTCCTCCTCCCAGGGAGGTGTTGCCCCCATCGCACTTAAGACACACACGTGCCTTACCAGCCTCGAACGTATCCCTATCCCTAAGAGTGACACGCCAAAAGGCGATGACCATCGTATGGCTTCGCCCTCAGAAAAAAAGAAGGGAAGCCCTAAGATTGGCATCGTGATGAGGAGGTGCCCAGCATAGGGACACGGATATATGTTCCAGGCTGGTAAATTCCAGAACATTGGTTCGAGCACCGCGCACCGCATCGAAGCAGTGTGGGACGAGTACCGCCCCCCAGGGCTCCGCGCGTGCAAATCCCGTCAGATTCGGTGCTGTCGTGGCGCTCGAAACTCTCCCGGGTGATCAAGAGTGAAGCAGGTTGGAACATCATAACCCCAGGTGGGGTCGGAGTAGATGGGGTCGGAGGATCGCGCCGCATCGCCAACACTTCTGCGATACATCGCCGATGCATCGGCGATGCATCGGCGACGTGGGCGAGGTCGGCGACGTCGACGT